TTTAGTTGCATCCCCCTTCTAATTCCTGTACAAACTAAACTGCTAAAACACTTTTAAAAGAACTGTATTGTACACTTGAACAGTAAATGAGATTTCCAGGGATGTTCAGTATACAAGTAGTGTTCACAATTCCTCAAAGCATCCACAGTTAAAGGAAATTAGATTGCCAGGGATGTTTGATACACCAGTAGTGTTCAAGTAGTCTTCAAAATACCTCCAAGTTTCTATATTTAAGGGAAGATTTCAAGTTTTTTTGCCAATTTTTAATAACTAAATGTTCTATTTTTAATAATAAATGTAGCAGCTCTACAAAAAAGGAAGGATGTCAGTATACTTTAAAGTACTACAGAGTTTTCCTATTTAAACCTGAACTCCAGGCAGATACAGATACAAGTATCCCCCTTTTAATTTCTGTACACTGCTAAATACTATTTACACCTAAATATTTATAAAACAGTGAATATTTAGTTATCATATATCCTTTATCACTTCCTCCCTAGAATTAGGGACTTATTTCTGTGGGAGTAGAGTCATATTGACTTCCCTCTGGGATCCTTTAGACTACAGAGGTGATGTTAGTACACTCCCAAAGCTTATGCAGAGCTGACTTAAACAGATTGCATTTAGCAATCAATCCTGCCCAGTCATGCCTACTAGCCTATCTAGCATCTGCATACATCAGCATTAGTGAGGTACAGGCTGTTGGTGGTGATTAAATAACTCAATTACTCTTATTCCACCGCCCACAGTAATGCCCTGAACCACCAACACTGGCACCCGTGGAGAGCCCTAAAACTAGAAAGGTTCAGATCAATCATCGGGCATGTAGATTTCAGGCATTACAAAACATAGAAGCAGGAAGTGGAAGTTCCTCAGTGTTCCCTTATGTTTAACAGCATCCAAGAGGAGTGACATCACAGAACCGGCAAATCAACTGTATTCAGTGCTACAAGGTATTAGTGACATAACTAAAAGTGCAGTTGTGATTGCCTAACAGAAAGGCAACATGTACTGGGGTGGGGAGGAAATCCTGGAGTTTAGATTTAATATAAGAGAATTTAGTATTTTTATATGTACAGAAGTAATACGCCATTTTTCTTTCTGTGCAACTCAAAACCTAGTTATTATTTGATTGTCTATCCATCCATCCATCTATCTATCTATCTATCTATCTATCTATCTATCTATCTATCTATCTATCTTTCTATCTATCCATCCAACTATCTATCTAATACATATATGTTTCATACATTATATAATGAAAAAACAATGCAAACATATATAGTAGATAGGTAAGATTTGTTTAATTCCAAATTTGTCAATCATGTCGTCCAGTGATGTAGATTATCATCAAATACAAGGCCCACCACTCAACAAACTCAAGGAAAGAAAACATTCCCACAACCCACCACCACCACATCCAAACCCAACAAACTCTTGCTGAAAGTGGCAGCTCTGCTCCTGAATGTACACAAGGGGGTGGCATCACAAGACTTTCTCAGCCCCTTGATTCCATTCCATGACAGGTCTAGGTCCCCTACTGGAATGTAAATAAAAGGAGCGAGCAATCACGTGACATCACGGCTTGCTCTGCCCCTTTGTTTAAATTCAGGAGCTGAGCTGTCCCTTGCAGCGAGAGTTCATTGGGTCTGGACGTGGTGGTGGCGGTGAGTGGTGTGGATTTTTTCTTCCATCCAGCCTGGCAAGTGGCGAGCATCCTGATTCATGAGGATTTACATTGGTGGATGATGTGATTGATCATGGATTTTATGAAAGGGGCACCCAGATTAAGATAAGCCCCCCCTGCATATCAGGGATCCCACACTATTTTTAATTAACTATGGATGTGAGTAACTAAATTCGCATAGATTTGGAAACGAAATATCAGATCCATCCAAAATCCAAATAACAAATATCGGAGTGATCCAAATTTCGGATCTGTTAACGCAAGCGGAAAAAAAAAAACCTGATGGATACGAAACAAAAATGAAACATGTTTTCTGGTGGCTTACATGTCTATTACAAGGTGTATTAGTAATGTCTGTTTTGGAGTGTTTAATTATGCAAAAATGGAAACAATGAACATACATACAGTCAGCCTATAAATTCCACTTCTCAGAGCTACTCTACCACATAGACCCCATCATGTTTGTTGCATTTGTGTCATCATTTGGCCAGACCTCACATCCAGTTTGCAAAACTTTACAGAGCACGCTTAGCTCTTCTGCTTTAGAGCTGTTTTAAGTTTCTCCGGGTCTTCAGATCCCATGCCATGAATGATATCATTCATTAGCCCAAACAGGTGGAAGTCAAATAGTGGCAAATCTGGGATGTAGGCTGAATTTTCAGTGAGACCATTGATCATTTGGCTATCAACTTAATGGTGGCATGAGAGCTGTGTGGGCGAGCATTATCATGATGCAGTGGCATGGCTTGGCTGCCTTTCTGTGGTCTTTTCTTAACCTTTCAAAGTGTACCAATGTAGGTTTCACTGTTGACACTTTATCCCAAAAATGTATGAGAATAATGCTTTGACTATCCCAGAACATGACTGCCGTGATCTGGTAAATTTATAGT